GGCAATGGTAGGAAAGTCAAGAATACCTTAGGATGAGTGTATCAGACGACGATACATGTTTTCCTTCAAATAGACAAACGTTTAGCTGCTCTATAGGTTTATAGACAGCATTAATTGGATGACATGATTCTTTACTTGCCCGCCGACATCAAGGTTCATGGCTTGTATTTGTACATTGATTAGGCGTTTTCCACGCCCGTTTGATCTACTCGTGTCTGATATAACTATTGTACAAGACAGGACAGCTTCACCTACCGGCAAAGTCCGTCCCACTGCCACGCCACAAGTCGTCGTCGCCACCGTCGTAACGTGACGACTGCCGCTCTCTACAACAACAGCTTTAACAAAAGGACGATACTGCTGACCACAACGCTCGCACATGCACCTACTACACCCCAACCCAGACGCCCGCTTTTTACGCAATACGCTTGACGTACTTCCACAAGCTCTTGTACTTGGGCTTCTGCCTCTTGGCTTCCCAACCCTTAGCCTTGCGGGGCGGCTTGAGCGAAGCAAACTTCTGGCGCTTGAATTCAACCTCAGCGCCGGGAATGCCGTGCCTCTCCATGACCTCGGCCGTGCCCTCGTCCCACTCGGAGCGGAACAGGTTGAAGCCGACAGGCTCGAGGTCGAATTTTTCGCGGAAGCCCTTGAGCGAGAAATTCTCGCGGTTCTCCAAATGCTTCTTCAGGGCCTCGCCGTCGATCTTGGCACCGGGCTTCTGCTCAAGCACGAAGACGTTGAGGCGGTGGTAGGGCGAACCCTTCTGCGCGAAGGGGGGAAGCCAGGGCTTGCCGACGTCGCCCTCGACGCGGTCGCCGACGCTGCGCAGGGAGAGAACCGTCTTCGACGGGTCCCATGGGATGTTGGCCGCCAGGAAGTGGCAGCGACGCTTGAAGTTGTCGTGCGTGACGTCGGGAACGTCCGAGTCGATGACGACGACAGTGAGGAGGCGCTCGCCCTTGTCAAAGACTTGCATGCGAAGTGTGGGTGCAACCTCGGTCACGCGCGAGTCGAGGATGGCTCCCGGGGAAACCTGGTAGCCACGGAAGGAAAGCTTGACGTCCATGGTCGGGTCGAAGGCGGGCAGAAGATCGGGAACGACGTGGAACTGCGAGATACGCTGCGCGATGATTTTGTAGTCCATGGAACGCCAGCGGCGCTCGGCCATGAAACGGTAGACGGGCTTGGTCATGTCACCTGGAGGCAGAGAAACATGTTCGTTAGACTGAGACTTGCGAAGCGGAGTAAACGTTATAAGAAAAGGAAAGGAAAGTACAAACCTCTGCCATCCTCGAAACGCCTCTTCACCTCGGGGTCGTTGATGTCGGCAAGAATCTTGAGCTCCTCGATATAGTTCCTTAAGCTCTTGATCCGTGTCTGCTTGGCGGCCTCGCCGCCCTCGAACTCGCTGGCATCCCGCGCCTCGATCAACTTGATCTTCTCCGTCTCCTTGACAATCTGGGCGATTTTGGCCGCGCGGTCCTGCTGCAGGATCTTGCGCGCATCCTGGAAACACTGGTACGGCAGCTGCTCGAAGGGGAGATTGCCGGTGGTGGCCAGGGCGGCCCTTCTCCTTCGCGACCCAAGCTCTGGACCTCCGACTACTGTGTCTGCTACTGTCGCCTTAGCCTCGGTTGCCGAAGGAAGGGGTGGTGGTGTTGTGGTGGAGTCGACAGGAGAGGTGGTGGTGGTGGTGGTGGTGGCGCCCTCATCTTTGCGCATCGGGGTCGAGGAGAAGGGCCTAACGGCGGCGACGGCGACGGACCGGGTCGAACATGTCGCAGCGCCGGGGCCGGTTTGCCGGAGACAGCGGACGAGTGGCCGCGCGACCTGCTGACACGTCGACATGGCGGGTGGGAATGTGTACAGGCGGGCCGGAGGGGAGAGTATTCGAAGTGCGGGATCGCTCTCAGTCGAGAGGAGCTGCACTCAAGGTTTCGTCGACGGGGAGGACGGGGTCAAGGACGGGACAGGGACGGGACGGAGGGTTCGTGGTCCTTCAATTCGTTCCATGCTGCAGCCCACCTGCCCGGACTCGAACGGCGGCCAAAATTTCGTGGACCCCGGGGCCGGCAGCACAGTGCGCTCATTGGAAGTACTTGTAGTGGGGGTTGCAGCTAGCTGGCGTGCCCCGCGAGAAAGCTCGCCAGGAACGGGTACCCCATGGCGACAGCGCACTGTACGTGCACGTTGCACTCCAGATCTTTTTTCTCCAGACTCCGTCCAGTCCCCTCGTCGGCCGAATCGTTGCGACTTGACTGGGAGGACCGGCGCCCGCGACGACCACCGCATATCCCGTCAGAGCCCCGTCTCGGTCCCGTTCCGTTGTCCCTCCCTCGCCCCGAAGCGCGCTCCACGTTTCCGTCCGCACAGGCCCGTGGTTGCTAGTCTCTCTTTTCCTCCCGCGAACAACTGCCTCGAGCACCACCATACCATCACATCCGAGTTGCATTAACTTGTAACTCCCGTCACCTTGCCATATCACAACGCCGCCATGGCCGGCAAGGGTCTCAAGAGCCTCAACGAGGCCATGAATGCGCTGAGCATTGCTTCCAAGTCATGCAGGGCACTGCCGGTTCGTCTTCCATACGTCCACCGTCTTGCTACTGACCCGCCGACGACTTTCGCTCACCAGTACAAACCATGTCCACTAGATGCGCCAATCCTCTATTCTTCCCTGCAGACGGTCGATGGCCTCCGTAGCTACCCCTCCTGCCGCCAATATCACAAGATCGGTCTCGGAACCATGGCAACCCAGTATGAGCACCAACACGACTGCCAACCTCGACAACATCGCCCGCGCTGAAAAGGTACTAACCCACGATTCAGTCACCAACGTTCCTGTGACCGTCTATTCCTTCCCCGAACTCGAGCCGCGCTCCCTCGAATCCTACTCAGCCCGTCACCTTCACCTCCCGCTGCGTCGCGATATCCTCCACTTGGCCGTCATCTACGAAGGTGACTCGACACGACGGGGCATGGCGTCCACAAAGACACGCTACGAAGTTCATGGTTCGCACAAAAAGATGAGTCCCCAGAAGGGTACCGGTAACGCCCGTCGTGGTACCCGCCAGTCACCTCTGATGAAAGGTGGTGGAAAGACTTTCGGCCCCAAGCCCCGCGACTTCAGCACGAAGCTCAACAAAAAGGTCTACGATCTGGCCTGGCGCACCGCGCTGTCCTACCGCTACAAGCGTGGCGAGCTCATCGTCACCGAGGACGGCCTCGACCTCCCCCTCCCTAACGATTTCCTCTGGCTTGCCGGCGGCGGTAAGCTCAGCCGTGAGCTTGAGGACGGCTACGTCCGCAAGTGGGTTCACGAGTTTATGACCAGCTTGAACTGGGGCAAGGAGGCTGGCCGGACGACCTTTATCACGGGCGACAAGCGCCCCAACCTCTTCACCGGATTCGAGTTGGCTGGTGCCGAGGGTCGCGCTCTGGAGTTGTGGGATGTCGATGTCAAAGACCTTTTGGAGACGGGCAGGATAGTGATTGAGCGCAGCGCGCTCAAGGAGATGATCAAGGACCACCAAAGCGACCTCGTCACCCGTGTAGCAGTCCAGGGGCTCCGCCAAAAGGGTCCCAAGCTGGGTGAGGTGCTCGTCAGGGCGCCGAGATACTAGACAGGGAAGGAGACGAAGAAGAAGAAGAAGAAGAAGAAGAAGAAGAAGAAGAAGAAGAAGAAGAAGCAGCAGCAGCAGCAGAAGTGAATGCGTGTGTGCAACCACCGGCAACACTCTTGTACCATATGAATCGCGCAAGGAGGGCGGACTGAAAAAGACGGTTTGCCCGGCACGATGAGTGTAATATTCATGTTCCCTTGTATGGTGTACCTACACGAGTTTCCCTTGTTATTCGGAAGCAATTGGCTTGCCTTGTTCCCTCTCTGCATTGTGATAATAAGCGAGGACTGTGTAAAAGCAAAGGGGTTGAGTAGAGTAATAGTCTGTGACTGGACTGTGACACAGTTATGCGCAACTGAAATGCCTTTGCTTGCAGTGAAGTTTGCAGTGTTTCATTCACCACTCACTACTGCGGGCAATGCCTGGGCAGCCATCTCGGCGTGACGCCTTTGCCAACAGGAACGAACTGAAGTGAACAAAGAAAGAAGACGAGATGGAAGTTGCAGCCAACAGCCAACAGCCGACTGCCTGAACAGCTTGGCAGTCCCGCCTCAGCCCGCTGCCGGCCCGCCATGGAATTCCTCCCGGAATTTGCACTGGTGCACGGACCAGGTCTCGGGACCTCCCCGCGCCTATTTAACCAAGCCAGTCCTTCCCCCAATCTTCAACTTTCCTTCTCCTTTTTTTTTCCTCCATCCAAGTGCAGGGGTTTTACGCGTATCAGTGAGGATTCGTCCGAGATCGCGTTTTTGCTAGTTGAAAACTACATACCTGACCGCTCTCAGTTGGCTTCGGCTGGCTGGGGAATTTTTGGCAACCCACAATCCTTTCTCGGACTGGAGATTTTCTTCATTTTTTCTTCATCTTTCAATGCCTACGGTTCCTTGTCGAGGGGCCGTGGTGAGGAAGGAAACCACGGACGAATGCATGGCCCTATTTGTTTCGGGCTTTGGGAACGCGAACTTGCTGCTGCTTGGGTTCCGTGAAGATCTGGAGGGCCCGTGTCTTGATACGACTTGAGTCGACAGCGCGGGGTCCGTCTGGGGATTCGTGATGCGGTGTTGTTAAATTCGATGGTTTGCATTGCCTGGGCTTGGCGGTCATCTGTATGTGGTCAGTCGAGACCGAGTAGTCACTTCGCAAGCCCGGTTTTGATCTTTGGATCAGAATGAAAGCGACGAGGGGTGTCCGGAATGCTGATTGAATTTGTCCACGCGTTTTTGGACTTCAGCCGCCAGTTGTAAATTGTCGTGATATCGCAATCGGTTACCAAAGATTGCGCAGCGTTCGCAGTATAGAATCGGCCTTGTGTCTCAACTTTACGAGAAGCGTGCATAGATATCCTGCGTTCGGGTATCCAGCTGAGAGATCCCTCTCAGCTCGCTTGCCTCACCCGCTGGCCAGACAACAAAGGTCGATCTTGTAACCGTAGACAAGGCTTCGGTTGGCTTCTTCCCATTGCCGTATCTTGCCCATCAACATCGATGATGCGACAAGCGAAGTCCGGTCCGGTTCTCGCTCCCCACCCAGACCCTGGCACCACCAGGCTACCGTACTCGATATGGCATCAAGACAATTCGGACATTTCTTCACGTAGTTCAGGGTCCAAACCGGCGCACCATTGTTGTCCAATCCTGTCGTTAATCGCTCCTTGTCTGCGCGTATTGTAATCAAAGGTAGTATGGGCAATTTACTGGTCTCAGGGCTCTTTCGTTTCAATGCAAAACATCTTCCCCTGGCATTCAGAGGGACAAATCATTTGCCAAGGGATGATGTATGGCTGCTGGATACAAGAGACCGCTCCCAGACCTTTCCGCGATACCTCTCCAACACCCGTCCCAGATTGCAAGATCCAAAATCATGGCACGGTTGTAAAGAGGCACACGAGGTCAGCATGTCTTGCAGAGTTGAGCTGTCCGCCGAGCCGTAAGCCTCAGCAGCGGAGATACATACAATGTGATATGGGTGGGAGAATCGAGAAAAGGACGGGAAGTGGGAATGCCGATTGGCCGGCGCGACGATTTCCGGACTATGCCAAGACTAGAACCTGGAAGTGTGAAGGCTGGAAGGTCCGTCGTCTCACCACACGTTGAAGTCGACTGTCACTGTCGGGGGGCCCGTGGTGGGCATGAAGACTCGACGCTGGGTTTCCGCTACAAACTTACCTTACTTACGTAGGTAGGTGGTGTACCGTTAAGAGTTTTTACTCCACTCAGCTGTCTGGACAAGCCGTAAGATTGGTCAGGTTCGGCGACTGGCCGTGTAAAGTTACGGATGGTTACTGTAAAACTGTATGATAGGCTGGGCGCGTGACACAGTGCTCCGCTGAAAACCTGTGGAGGTGCGTCGCGCTGCTGGCTGGCGAATGGCCCTGCAGTCCGTCCCGTCTTTGGCTGAAAGGCCAGGGCCGTCCAACTCTGCCTTCCATTCCCGCTCGCCTCCAAGTCCAAGGTGAGCGAGCGCCCTGCCCTGTCTTGTTCACTCCAGCCATCATCAACCGAACAACCAAAACCCACCACCACCACCGACGACAATTAAACCTGTCGCCTAACCGACCCAGCATCGCCGAGCGCCGCCACGAGGCCTGCGATCACCGAGACACCATTCGAGTCGACTCGTTTTCGACTTTGCTTTTCGATTTCCCCCCCC